AAATATGTTTAGATGCTAGTAATTAAGTTTTAGTTTTTTCTAATCTCTATATTTAATACTTCATCTGTTTTAAATTATTAGTTTTCTAGAGTTTTTACTTATATTAATAAAATATATTAGTAATTTTTAACAATAGATACATTATTTTTTGTGCTAAATTTTGTCCTAGAACTTTAGGTTAATAGTAATTCAATAAAATCAATTAATATGTTTTGAAATACACAATTCATTGTCATTATAGAAAATGTAAAAAATTAATTTTTATATAAAAAAAGTTTTATAACGTCAATTTTTAAGAAACAGAAAGAATATATAGTTTTAGTATTTCTTGACAATTTTTTTGAAAGAATACATTCGACATGTGTCTAGAGTTTCTCTCTTTACTCTGTCTCAAATCTTTCGGAAGGAAAAATTCTTTCCTTCTTTCCTTGTGTTATTCATATGTACCAATATTCATCGGATAAAAGTTCCGATTCGTTCGGATAATAATTTATAACTGGATCTCTCTCAAATTTGATCGGATTTCTGCACAAGGATGACGCACGCAAGTAGAAAATTAGTCCAAGCTTTCCATTATGAAAATATTTTATTTTAAAACTTGTAGGCGTGACATTTTATTTTTTGTCGTCAGAATATTTGTGTTTGTGCCTGGGAATGTAGGACATGCCAATCGAGTGTGGGACATGTCAATTATTTCCATTTAAATTCACTTTTTGTAGACAGAAATAAAATTCAATCCGGTCGTACCAGATGTGACCAGACATGCCCAATTAAGAACTGACATCTTGGGATTGGATATTTTAAGAGTTTACACAAAAAAAAAGGACTTCGGTTTACATTTGCTTAGGATAATTTTATTCAACCAAAATTACAAACCCAAACAACAATTCAAAGAGAAGCCAAAAAAAAGCCTCATAAATTATTCTATGGATATAAATTATAAAAATTTCAAATATCATCAACAGATTTCAGAGTTGGAATACTCTGTTCATCACAAAAGAAATCCATTGGATCAACATTTGTTTTGACACTAACCAATCTATCGAAATTGTTCTTGAAATACTTCACTCCCCAAATCTTTCCTTCTTCATACTTTGTCTTCATATTCATCCCAATATTATTATAGATCCCCAAATCAATATCTCTAAAATTAACATAAGCTCCTCTTGGTGATTTCGAGACATAAGGAGTCATATATTCGTACAAACTCTTGACCCATCTCAAATATTTCTCTGTATCAG